GCCTCGTCATATGCAGATCTTCTTTCCCTCAGTTCTTTATTGTACTTGTCCTGTTGGTTTGGTTATTCCAGTCTAATTGTGAGCTTTGTTTCTGTAGCCAATAATTTGGAGGTGGATGCAATTTTTGTCTACACAAAGACAGGCCACATGGCATCTCTCCTATCCCGATGCAGACCCGATTGCCCGATCTTTGCGTTTACTTCCACGACATCTGTGAGGAGACGTCTTAACTTGCAATGGGGCTTGATACCCTTCCGCTTGAGCTTCTCGGACGACATGGAAAACAACCTCAACAAAACGTTTATGCTGCTTAAAGCCAGAAACTTGATAAAATCAGGTGACCTTGTACTTGCTGTATCAGACATGCTGCAGTCTATTCAAGTAATGAATGTTCCATAAGAAAGAGGGGGTTCTGTAATGTTATTGCTTGCTCTGATGTTTCATTCCCCCAAACTATTTGACTTAATCTAAGCCTCTGGATCTGTTACTTAGCAGCTAGGAAAAGAGATCGACTCGACCCGAGCTTCAGGTTTTTCTCCTTCGACCCTATCTGAAACGTTTAGTTGAACTTTTGAGCATTTTGGTTTATTTCTTCTTATTCTCTGTAGTATTTTTATGGGTATCAGATAAATGTTCTATGAACAAACATGGTCTACGTGCTATTTATGTTACTTTTTAGATATTAATACGTAATATTATGTATTTCGGCGTTTGATTGAATTTTGGAGTTGTGATTAAAAAAAAAAAGTGTTCTTTTTTTAAGTGATTTTTAGTTGATCATTCTTGGTATTAAAAGCTTCTCTTGAGTATTGTATAATCAATAAATGAAATATTATTGAATTTATTTAATAGTTTTTACTTTTTGGTTGTGAATTCTCTCTTCTCGGGGTCGGGGTGAGATAGAATTATATAACCTTGTGTTAGGACCTACGAGCCAAGGAACAGTCTCAGGTAGACAGTTTCTATATAGTGTAGGCCTCCCAAAAGATAACGGAGGCGTGCAAAGGTTTCCTCGGGCTAGACGGAGATTAGCCCTTGGGTGCAAAAGTTAAAAGGGAGATTGACTGCAAATCCACCCATCGAGCAAGGACGAAAGTTGGCCTTAATGATGTGATGGTTTCAAGTGATAGGTCATTGCTCAACGGATAAAAGTTGCTCTAGAGATAACAGATTCGAACTCACATGGAGAAAGTTAATAATAATAATAATTATGGTTGCAAATTTTCAATTTCAGTTCATTTTTCAGTTTTCTCCATTCAAGCCCAAATTTTAAAAGAAAACAAAAACAAAAGGGAGAGACAATTTTGAGTAATAAATAATAAATCTATGTTAATTAAATGAGATAATCCATCGAATTATTTTATATTAAATATTAATTACAATCTGAATAACTTCGTTAATTATTATATTACTTTTAAATTATTTGAGAGAGAAAACGATGTTGGACGTAGCTTTGACAGCCACATGTCAACTGCAGGTTGGCTATGATTTTGAGGTAATTTATATTAATTTATTTAACATTAAAAATACATTACGGTGATTTTATTAATATTAAAATAAGATAATTATATTTATTAAAATATTAAAATAATCTCTTGCTTCCTTCAGATTGATGTGATTTTTATTCATATATTTGGCATCTTATGATTGGCCCACACTGACCTCTTCAAACTTATTTATTATTTTTTAATTAAAAAACGTCTAATATTGCCATTATTAATTTATTTCACTATTAACAGAGCTAAATTTTTTTTTTTCATAAATTCACTGTTATTTAAACAAAAAAAATCACATATATATATATTTCAAAAATTAAAATAAAAATACATTTTATGTGAAATTACATTTTAACCCTTGAAATGAAATCTCAATACATAAACTCCAAAACCACTATTTTCCTTCTCTTAATTGTTTAAATTTAAATTTAAAATAATAATTCCACTATTATTTTCTCTCTTATTATTAAGCTTTTATGTCTTGATCAATCACCCTCTTCTATTTTATTTATTTATTTATTTATAAATAATTAAAAGAAAATGTTACTTGGTTGTCCCACCTATTTTTTTAAAACTACACTATATGTACAAAAGAGTGTAGAGTATGTCTATGCCATAATAATTTGTGTACATTTGGCCCGACCGATACCCCGTAGAGTCAACTATTTTTAACACTTTTTTTCGGTGCTAATTTTGATGCATAATTGTTTATTTTATAAAAAATTAGCACTTATAGCTAAATAAAAAAAAATAGGAGCAATCAGCTAAAAATTGAAGAAATTGAGCAAAGAGAAAAGGGAATGAAGCCTAAAACTCGAGTGAGAGGGCGTTGAAACGCTAGTTAAGATGACATTGAGATGTATTTGTAGTGTCTCACTCAAAACACTAAAAAAAACGATGTTACGTTTTTTCATCATGCCTAGACGCTGCTTACAGCATATAGATACTGTTAATAACATTTCAACGCTGTCACATGATTTATATAAAATAAGATTTGATTACCTATATTATATTATTGAGAGATGATGTAACAATATACTTCGCTATCAATAAATAAACAATATATATATTTTAATAATTTATATTAAGCTAATTGTATTATTAATAAATAAACTCTAAAAAATTGGACGGTTGTTACAATATTTAAATTTCGTATAATTTAGGGTTAATATATATTTACTAAAGTTTAAATTCAAAACCCTAGCATTGAAATCATCACTAATCTCTCTCTTATCTTAAATTGTATATTAATATTTGATTAAGCTTTTTAATTACCATGGATAATTAAGTAGGTTTTCATCAAAATAGGCCTTTTTATAGGGATGAAATATTCAAAACCCTATTTATTTTTCTTATTTTTTTTTTTAAAATTGATTTCTTTTAAAATTATGTTTCATCCTTTTATTATTTAGCATATTTTTCGTGTGTGAGAATTGATCTAACTTAGGTTTTAATCATCAGCCTCTTGTATAGGTCAGGAAAGGATTGGGTGGTTCGAGGATGAAGCCCAATCTGAATAAGGACTTTGATTAGTGGTTTTAATCACAATTTAGTGTCTAAGATTCTTTAATATTATTGGGAAGTCTCTAAATTTATGTGAGCTAAGTTATGATTACTTTGATAACCATAATTATTGGATCAATCAATAATGATTGTTTATTATGCAACGTATTCCGAATCTGTCGAAAAGTTAACATATTAGTAAACATAATGATTGTTTGGGAATGATGAGGTTAAGATATGAATAAATTATTAATTAGAAGCTCACTAATTAAGTTGGCATCGATAATCTTGTCTCCTTTACTCTATTTTTTAAATTTATATTATTTAAAAAAAAAAAAGTCGGACAAGATCCCACATTTATTTGAGAGGAGAGCAAGACATCCATTACAAGAGTGTGAAACCTTCTCTAGCAAATGCATTTTAAAATTCAAGAAACACTTTATTTCTTAGATTCATGAACCCAATTCAATTCAGTGGAATCTTTCATTCACATTTTTTTCCATCAAGAACGTTTTATAAAACTCTTAGACTCCCGAATTTGGAGTATCGTACTTTCACGCAATTCACAGGGTTCAACAAGCAATCGATATTTCACGATCAAGGGTGTAGTACTATTTGTAGCAGCGGTTCTTATATATCGTATTAACAATTGAAAAATAGTCGAAAGAAAAATCTCTATTTGACAGGGTTTCTTCTTATACCTATGAATTTCATTGGACCCAAAAATGGTTCATTCGAAGAATCTTTTGAAAGTAAAAATTTAAATAGGACAATATTTATATCAGACAACCCAATAGAGGAAGGTTGTTACGTTTACCTATTATATATTATATATATATATATATATATATATTTTTTTTAATAAAAAATAATAATAATAATAACAAGGAATCATTGTGGTTATAACTTTTATTAATTTCTTCACTAAAATCAATAAGTAATTGACAGATAATACCAATGGATATTTAAAGACTTTATCTTAACAAAAAAGAACAATTACATTTGAAAAAAAGCTGAATTTTTGTCCCCTTTAATGGAAACCTATTTCATTAGTTTTAATCATAATTTTTTTTTTTAAAAAAAGCAACTTATAACTTTTTGTTTTTATATATAATATAAATAGAAATATAGTTTCAACTTTTATTTAATACTTTTTTCCAATTTTTTTATAATTATTTTCTCATTGTATTTTACTCTCAATCTTTATTGACTAAAATTAAAATTAAGACCAAAAATTTATTAAATAATTTAAAATTTTTCAAAAGCTTTTAAATAAATTTTGTATTTTATCTCAAAAAGTTCTATAAATAAAAGTTTTAATAATATCTCAATTTAAAAAAATATAAAAAAATACCCTTCAACTTTTTAAAAAATAAATGTCTATGATCGATAGAATTATTTAAAAGATACATGAAATTTAACATTATTTTACGTTTATAAAAAAGTTAAAAAAAAATTTATTACTGTCATATGAACAAAAAATCATCTATCAATATCTCATAGATTATCTCCGCATTTTTTATGTTACTTTTGAAAATTAATAATTTTTTTTTAAATTAAGAGTATTAATGAAACACCGTTTAAATTAGAGGTTAATTTTGTATAATATTAAAATGCAAATATGTTTTAAATATTAATATTTGTCAAATATTTTTTAAAATTAAAAGATGGGTAAGAAAAAATTACCATGATTAAAAATTAATAAACAAATTATCTCGTACTGTCATACTTTATTTGGACCTTTCGAGCGATTTACTATTTTACCCCAGTACGGGGGGTCATCAAACAGTCCACTAGAACTAAGGCATTGACGTAAATTCAATATAATTGACTCACAACGAATAAAAAACCGCCACGTTGCATCGGCATAATATCTTCACCCTCCACGTCATCAATTCTTACATTATAAAAATGAAAAATAACACATGCCATGGGGTTATGACGTGGCTAAACAGTCCCAGTCAGCAATCTGAAATTGTTATAAAGAAGTCCAGCCCCTATTTTGTACTCCACAATCCGCCTTTTGAGAATCATAAAAATCCCTGCAAAACTTCTCTATCTTAATCATCATCTTCACCGGCGACGACCATCGGGCCGGTGAAATGAACATTCCAGCGACTGATTCTTCACAATCCGCTCGCACTCTTCGCATCTCCGATCATCGCCGTCATGTATTTCACGAAAAGCTCTGATCCGAAATCCATTTCCTCGTTCGCTTAGTTACGAAGTTATCCGCGCTAGTTCCATGGAATTTCGGGGAAAGGTATCCATCTCTAACATCCTCTTGGTTAAATTTTTGGTATATTCTGACTTCTTAGGTTTTTTTTATTGTCTGTAATTTTGAATTTGAGAAGAGTGTTTGGTGGAGGGGAATGAATTTTGAACTGGAGTATTGTTATCTTGGCTGTAATTTCTCTGATTGTTCATCAATTTTGTGTAATTTATCTGATTTCCAAGTGCGGGATGAATGTATGAAAAGGAAAACTAGAAGCATCGAGTTTGTGTTCATCCTCTTCGATTTTATTCACTTGGAGTCTGAATTTATTATGAATCGGTGCTTATTAATTGATTCTGATAATAGAGCAGAGATGAAGAGCGTCGTAATTACTAATTACTGCATCATAAAGAAAGCCTGAGGGTTTTAGAGTTCAGATTAAGCTTAAAACCCTCGTTTACTTTTTTTATTCCTGTTTTGAAAAAATCTATTCGTACCTTTTCTTCGTTTCGTCTTCAGATGAAGATTCAGCCTATTGATATCGATCCTCCAAATGGAAGGGTTGGCATTCGTAATGATCCAGGCAAGCCGATGCTGAAATCGCGTTTGAGAAAGCTCTTCGATCGGCCGTTTCCGAATGTTCTAAAGAATTCTTCAGCGGAAAAGCCCATAGCGACTGGAGAGGCCGCACAGCTCATCGTCAATAAAGATGGAGTGGGTGAGTTCGAGCCGAGCTCCATCTGTTTGGCTAAAATGATTCAGTGTTTTATAGAGGAGAGCAACGAGAAGCAGTCGTCAGTGGCCACTGCTATGAAAAATGGTCGCAATCGCTGTAATTGCTTCAACGGAAACAGTAATGACAGTTCCGACGATGAGTCCGATGACTTTGGTGAATCTGTAACAATCGGATCATCTGGTGCGGATGTTTCCGATTTACTCAAGGTAAACGCCACTTCGATTATTCTCTGAAAATTAGTACTCTAAGGTCTTGAAACTTAAATTGATCCAAATCGATTTTGGGAATCAGAGTCTGATTCTCTGCGACAGTGTAACCGAGAGAAATCTCTTAGCGGACACCGCAAAGATTGTTGAGAAGAACAATAAAATTCACAAAATGAAGAACGATTTGAGAAAAGTTGTCACGGATGCGCTTACATCTCTCGGTTACGATTCTTCAATCTGTAAATCAAAATGGGACAAATCTCCTTCATATCCTGCAGGTACTCACTCTTCTAAGAACAAAACCAAACCATGAGACAAAAAAAGAAAAAAAAAACTCCAATAGATTCGAATTATACTGAATACTCTTGGTGTAGGGGAATATGAATACATCGATGTGATGGTGGAGGGCGAGAGATTGGTGATAGACATAGATTTCAGATCGGAGTTTGAGATCGCTCGTTCGACTGGTGTGTACAAGGCGATGCTCCAAGTACTTCCGACTATCTTCGTCGGCAAAACGGATCGTCTAGGTCAAATCGTCTCGATCGTATCGGAGGCGGCGAGACAGAGCTTGAAAAAGAAGGGGATGCACTTTCCGCCATGGAGGAAAGCCGAATACATGAGATCCAAATGGCTTTCCTCTCACATCAGATCCAAACCTCCAAATCCATCGCAAAACGAGAACGAAATCACGGACGAGGTCCGAAGCGACAATAGCGAGCAATCCTCGATAGAAACGGATTGCGGAGAATTCGAAATGATTTTCGACGAGGAAACGACGACGACGACATCACCTGAGAGTGATTCGATGAAATCATCGCCTCCGCCGCAGAAATGTTTTAATGGCGGTGAGAAGGCGGCTGTGGCAGTGACGGCCTGGCAACCTCCGGCGATCAAACCGAAGAGTCTCGATAAAGGAGCGAAGATCGTTACTGGATTGACATCGATCCTCAAAGAGAATCCGTAGAAATTTTGTTTATTTTTTTGTATTGAAAATCTAAAATATCATAAACAAAAGAAAAAAAAAAGAAAATAATAATAATTAAGTGGGTAAATATTAAATATGAGGATATATATATATATATATATTTGTGTGTGTGTGTCCTTTTGTTTAGTGGAGGAAAGAAAATATAGGAAAATCCTTCCGTTTTTGGTTGCAAATTTGGATTGCGTCTTTGTAATTTTTTCTTTTTTTGAAAAAAAACATATATATTATTGAATTTTGCAATACTAATAAGAGTTTTTTTTTTTTTTTAAGATGAAAAATAATTTATTAAATAAAATACGAAGTTTGCTACGATTAGACCAAAGTCCAGGCTTTTGTTATACTTGTGGAAATGTCTCGATCATGGCTGTCAGTACCCGTCTTTTGGTGTGCTTCGTCTACGTTCTTTTGGCATCCGCCTGTAAGCTCTCCATTCGACTCTCGTTTTTTTTTAAGTTAAACAATAATTTATTAAATAAAAATACAAAGTTTTGTTAATATTTTTATTACATTTATTTTTAAAATATAGGAGTTTTTTTATAATTGAATGGAAGGGTGAATGCTTCCTAAAAGGGAACAGCAAGGCGACTTAAAAAGCATAATTTTGCCAAAATATTTATACATAATTAATAATTTCTCGTCTGTTGAGAGCTTTCCTTTCCCTTTTTAATTTCGAATTATTTATTTATTTATATTAATTTCTTTTGGAGAAGACAAAAACTGATTTATTTATTTTTTAAAAAACTACTTTTATGAAAAATAATGTTCCAATTAATGTGAACATTTAGAAAAAAAAGTTTCCTTTACCACACTTATTAATTAAACCGAGTAAAATAACATAAACAATAATATTAATAATTGAATTTGGATTTAATTAAAAATTGTGGGAGAAAATCAATATGCATACAATAAATCATTCTATCTAAGAAACCCATTCAACTTCTTGTTATTTTTAAGTAAATATTGATGGGTCCATATAATATTCGGATGATTCCCTCTCTATTTTTTTATTACACATTTTTTTTTTTTTGGTTATTACCCTTTTAAAAATATAATAAAATTATAATATTAGCAATAATCATCGACACAATCAAGACATTTAATTATTTAAAACTTAGGTCATAAAAAGAGGCCGTCACATATTTAAATCCTATTTGAATAATTAATATCTTATCCAATTTGATATCATTTTCATATTTTTTTCCAATTATTTTCAAATAAGTGATTTAGTTGAATAGTTCTCTCCTTTGACTTTAAGTTCAATTGGATTAGAGTTTGATTATAGAGTATCGTCAATTAAAAATCATCTTTTGAAAAAAAAAATCTATTAAAATTTAATTTTGTTGAATATGACGTGTTTCAGTACAATATTATATATTTCAAATATTGGGTAATTTAAATTTATTTAAAGAATTAAAATTTGAGGTTGAATTTCAATATATATTTTGAAAATTTTACATTTTAAAGACTTAAAATTTTATTTTTTTTTTAGAGAAGTTGGTGTAACATCACATGTTTTTAAAGTTCATAAAGTTCAGATCAAGATTAAGAATTTGAATTCGACATTTAATGATCCTTATTTACTAAAAAATAGTTAAAAAAATCCACTGGTTTTAATTAATTTGGATTTTTCTTTTAAGTTTGAAAAGCTTAGTTTTAATAGCTTATTTTTAGATGGTAATAAATCAATTAATGAAAACTAAGTTTATTTATTGAAAGATTTAATAAATAATAATATATTATCCTTATTTGATTTTAAAAAAATAAAATAATGAATGTCTTATTTTCAATATGACCTATATTTATCATTATCAATAAATAAATTTCTCTATCAATAATTCAATTGATAGTAAATAAAAATTAAATGATAATAACGAGTGTAATAGAGACCCTTTTAAATTATAATATTGCAATATTAATTAAAACTTAATTGACTTCGACTTATCATTTTATACTTAATTAATGAGTCGATATTAAAAAATAAAATACAAAAAAATAAATATTTAATAAAATTATGATCTTGAATTTCTCAAAATAAAAAAAAAATTTATAATAGTTATAATCGTTAGATGTATAATTTTTATTTTAATTTCGGGTAGTAATTTAAAAATTGATAGTTCGATTGTGATTTCTTGTTTGATAAGGAAACTAGCTTTCAAAAATGGATAAGCCAGTCAGACATGACATTGCATTGGTTTCTCCTTAGTTTCCTTCCTTTATTTTCTATATCCCTCCATATCAATTGTGAGATCGGGAGAGGAGAATGAATCACTCTTTATAAAATTATGAAAATCTCTTCCTAATAAACGCATTTTAAAATCGTGAGGTTGATGGCGATACGTAACGGACTAAAACCGACAATATGTGTTAATGGTGGACTTGAGCTGTTACCAATGGTATCAGAGTTAAACACCGAGCGAATGCTAGCGATGACGTTGGACTCCTTAGGAGGATGGATTGCGAGATACCACATCGGTTGAAGAGAAGAATGAAACATTTCTTATAAGGGTATATAAACCTCTCCTTAACATATGTGTTTTAAAACCGTAAGATTGTAACGGGTCAAAGCGAACAATATCTATTTGCAATAAGCTTGGACTGTTATAAATAGTATAAGAGTTAGATGAGAGGTGGAGGCATGGATTGTGAGATCCCATGTTAGTTGGAGAGGGAAACGAGTATTTTTTATAAGGGCGTGGAAACCTCTCCCTAATAGACGTGTTTTAAAACCGTGAAACTGACAACGATACGTAACGAACCAAAGTAGACAATATATGTTAGTAGTGGGCATGAGTTGTAACATGGATACATGTGGACCAATTAGTTCAACAACTCCGAACTTAAATGCCTACATTACTCACAAAATCACATATCATTGATGATAACGATGCCACTCTGAAATAGCTAGAATTTTGACACAAAGAGCTAGTCCTAGTTGTCCTCATATAGCACTTGATCCGATAGAATTAGAGATAGAGAGTTACTTTAGGGGGTGTACATTAAACAGATAGGTAGGGTAACGCCCAAACTTGGCTATCTCCAGAATTCCATTGGAGGTTCCAACTGAACACATTTTACACAAGAAATTTGAAGAAGAACAGAAAAAAGATGGACGAGAGAAACAGAGATTCGTCCAGTTGAGGAAGCCCAATAGGCTTTGTTTCTACATTTATGGGCTTTAGGAGCTTCCAAAACCCTTTCCAATTACACGATCTGGATTGTACGGATACGTGAGATCTCACATCGATTAGAAAGAGAAACGAGTAGAACGCTAGGTTCCAAAGGTGGTGGATTGTGAGACTCCACTTCGGTTTGGGAATGAGAATAAAGTATTCGTTTTAAAAACGAGGCTTCAAATGCCAAAAAAAGAACGACATCTGTTAACAATGGGTTCTACCGTTACATATCTCTTAATATAATTAAATGCAAAAGGGAAGCACTTTTATATCTTCTGGGTATGGCTGTTGTTTGAATAAACGACTTGATTATGATCTAATACTTCATTCGTATGGAGCTGAAATCGCAAGTAATCGTCGATCAGACCGACAACCAGGAAAGAAAAGAAATAATAGGAGCGTAATCAACTTCTCCAAATTTGGACCCCACATTTCCGAATAGATGAACTGTATCTCCACGTGTCAATTCCACTGTCCGCCAAATTCCTTAAATCGCTACTGCTTACTCCACGTCATAACTCCATTCACAGTCGACAGAAGCCACGTCACCCATCAGCTCTTAAATTTTCCGACCGTTGATAGAGGACCGATGGAACTTTAGATTACAGTTTTGACCCTCGGTGAAGTTTTGAAGTATCTCATCAAGGTTTAACCACAGTAAATTATCAAAACTTAATTTGAAGGATAAATTAAATGACAAGATTAATTTTATAAACAAATTAAAAGAAAAAAGGAAAAAACTTGTCCCTCACATTATCTCCAAACTGACCCCTCAACCCGGATTGCAAAAATAGCAAAAACGTTAATCATAGTAAAAAATAAGAAGGGCATTTTGGGGAATAAAAGAAAAAGAAAGCTCCTAAATTTCTATGGGAAGGGAAATTCCCAACGAACGCGAAAATGGAGCCTATAAAAATCCTTTTCCCTTGAAACGAAACATCAGTCGGTTTCGATTACCGATATTTCACAATGGAGTACGGTGGTCCGCCCACCCCTCCGCCGCTCCCGCCGCTGCCCACCGGCGCCATCCTTCTCGGCAAATATCAGTTAGGTCGTTTTCTCGGCCGTGGAAGCTTCGCCAAGGTGTACCAGGCTCGTTCTCTCGCCGATGACTCCATCGTCGCCATTAAAATCATCGACAAGAACAAAACCATCGATGCCGCTATGGAGCCTTGCATTATCCGTGAGATCGCCGTGATGCGCCGCCTTCAGCACCATCCAAACATCCTCAAAATCCACGAAGTCATGGCGACAAAGACGAAGATCTATCTCGTCGTCGATTACGCCTCTGGCGGTGAACTCTTCGCTAAACTCCTCCGCCGTGGTAGGCTAACGGAATCCTCCGCCCGCCGCTACTTTCAACAACTCGTCTCTGCTCTGCATTTCTGTCACCAAAACGCCGTCGCTCATCGCGACATCAAACCCCAAAATCTCCTCCTCGACGAAGACGGAAACCTAAAGGTCTCCGACTTCGGTCTCTCAGCGTTACCAGAACAAATCAAAGACGGAATGCTCCACACAGCGTGCGGAACCCCTGCTTACGCAGCGCCAGAGGTAGTCACCAGGAGAGGCTACGACGGCGCAAAAGCCGACGCGTGGTCATGCGGCGTTATCCTCTTCGTCTTACTCTCTGGACACCTCCCATTCACCGACAACAATCTGGTGGCCATGTACAGTAAAGTTTACCGCCGGGAGTATCAATTTCCCGATTCGATTTCGAAGCCGGCTCGGCATTTGATTTTCCAACTCCTGGATCCAAATCCGAACACGAGGATGAGCATCGAGGCGTTGATGCAGCATTCGTGGTACAAGAAATCGGTGCGATCGAAGCCCCAAATCAGCAACCGGAGCTTGTTCGAATCGTTGGGTAATTACAAATCTGAATTGGGGGTTTCTGGATCAAATGCTTTTGATATAATTTCAATGTCATCTGGTTTGGATCTGTCGGGGCTGTTTGAGACGACGGATGATTGTAGGAAGAAGAGATTCATGACGGCGGTGAGCTTGGAGAAGGTGGAGGAGAGAGTAACAGAGATCGGTGGGGAATTGGGGTACAGAGTGGAGAAAGGGAAGAGCGGAGCAATTGGGTTGGGGAAAGGGAGGATGATTTTGGTGGTGGAGGTCTTGGAAATCACTGCTAATCTCTTAATTGTCGAAGTCAAGGTAGCTGAATCCAAAGCTGAGTTTGAGAGGATGCATTGGGGGGATTTGAAAGCCAAGTTGCAGGACATTGTTGTTTCTTGGCATACCAATGAGGAGGCCATATGATATTCTCATCTCAAACTAGGCTTCTTTTCGGGTGCTAGTCGAGCCGGGGCCGGGGCTCAGCTCGGGCTCCGTCTCGGCATTGGTCGGGGGTATTGTTGAAGGTGTTTATATGCAAATTGGACTAGAAGAGCTTAATTGAGGGAGGAGAGGGAGGTGTAACATGTTAGAAATGGTATGGTGTTTAATCTTGTGAAAGCTGATTTCAGAAACTGATCTGAAATCAACTAAGAAAACAAAAAGATTTCACCCATGCTTGCTTAATGGAAAGTTTCATGTTTTAACTTTGTCTCTTCAATAACAGGCCTATTATATAATAAGTGGGATTTAATAAACTAGCTTCATCTTTATGCATTCATCTTTATGCATTCATAGAGGTTGAAATTTAAAAATAATAAAAAAAAAACATTAATACTCAAACTCATGCCCATCTTATCCTATTTTTTATTTGGTTTATGATTTAGTCATTAGTAGAGCGGAAGTCAACCAAAGAACTACTGTGAAAAAATTAAAACCGAGCTTGAGGACGACCCACTTGTTCTATAACTATACTTTATTGAAAGATACACTTTTGTCAGAGTTTTCAGATTTATTTATGCACGATGTTGATGAAGAAGAGGGTCTTAAATTAAAAAAAATTGTAAATGATGGTGTAACAATGTACATTAGTTTTATAACTTAAAATTATCTCAAAGTTTTAGAACAAAATTTTCAAACCGTCGAGAAAGTTGTAAACTCAAATTTTGTGTCCAAACTCCTAAGATCATCGAGAATTCTTCCAATTAAATATTTGATTGATTCAAAAGTTATAGTAGACATTAGAATGGTTATTTAAAATCATTTACTTTCCACTAAAATAAGGAAAATTATGGATGGAAAATTCTGAGTTTTAAAAAATGCATTTAATAACCTACAAAATGAAAACAATATATTTTAAAATTATTTAATGTATGTATAATTTATGAATGTTAAGCTCAATATATTTTTTCCCTTAAACTTTGAGATGTTCTTCGCTACTTTATTTATATTTTAAATAATGTATTAAAAATTAGTATAAAATATATGAGTAGTGGTATGTTAATTTATTCATGTCATAAATAATATTTTTAAAAATAATATAAAATACAACCTATTAAATATATATATTTTTTAAATTTAAAAGAGAAAATATATGAATAAAAAATAATAAAATTTTATCTAGTTCGGATCACTGAAATTTTGTGTACTAAACTCCAAATTCGAATCAAATATATTCAATAATCGAGTTTTATAATTTTTAAAAAAATATATTTTCATAATCAAATATATTCAATAAGAAAGATCAAAATTGTTATTATTATTATTTTTTTTTTTACAACTGAAATGCTAAACTCATTATTTCAGAACAAAAGTAGGATTTGAATTGGAATTTAAGAAAAAAATAAAAGAGAGGAATTTAAATAATGTTAAATTTGCCAACGAAAAAGGGATTTTAGAAAATGAACAGAATTGCCGTGAGCAATCTGTCCCACATCGGTTAAACTTAGAAGCAAGAGCAGGAGACTGGGTATAAAAGAGGCGTGCATACGTCGTTTAAATCATACCTTTCTCGGCCTTTTGGCTAAGATCAAGTGTAGTATCTGTTCTTATCAGTTTAATATCTGATACGTGGGCCATCGGCCCACATGATATTAAATTAATTTTTCAAGGGGGAGAGCCCACCCGCAGTAGCTTGCTATTGGGGCTCTCCAGCATCGCCCATTCGTTGCACTACAGTTTGGGCCAGGCGCACCCCTCCAATTTTCAGTTATTAAAGTACTTCAGTTTTATGGAATTACAAGACTCCATTTAGAGACTTCGGGAATATATATTGTAATGAAAGTATATTTTAATTACAATTTGATTTCATCAGCCAATTAATGTTACAAAACTTGAAACAAAAAGAAAAATGAAGAAAAATTCATCATATCGTTCTGTAAATTTAAAAACAAAGGTGTTAATTTCTCAGTCCCCCAACGTCTGATCCTTTCATGATTCTCATCCTCTTGCACGACGAAATAAACATCCTGCATTTAATTCATCACCAAATCAAATAAGCTCATGAATTTAATTAAATACAGATTTGGAATTTCAGGGGAATTATTAGAACAACTCACCGCCACGGAACATCGCCCACCAGCATCCAATCTCCGTCTTTATCTTCATAAGTCGGGGCATAATCCGATCCCCGGTACCCTTCCCTTTCACAGTACGCCCCGATTCTGAACTTGAACATCTCCTCTAAACCCTTGAGAAGTGAAGGGTACCCCTTGTAGAGACCCACATCGATCTTCCTCAAATAAGGAGCTCCATCCATACTCACTTTCACATAAATCCCTCCACCCTCCGCCGCCGTGGTTGCCTCTGTTTTCTTTGGCAGCAGAGTATTTTTCCTAAAGGATCTAATCGGAGGCCACCCAACAACCTGAGACCTACAAAACCCAAATTGAGAATCAAAACAGAGCCCCAAAAACCATAACGAGAGTCATAATCGAAAACGGCACATACTTGGGTGGAGGAGCAGAGTCGTTCTGTAAAATTCTCTTGTAAGTTCGAACCCCAGAAGAGTTGTCTGCAGAGCCGTCGCTTTCGGCGGCTGTTCCTGGGAGGCCGAGACGGAGCTCGGTGGCTCCGAGATTGAGATCGGAGAGCTTGGAATCCATTTTTTTTTTTTTTTTTGTTTGTTTGGGAGAGAAGAAAAGGGTGGTTTTATAGATAAGATGAAGAAGGAGATGAGGATGGGAATTTGTCGGCGGGAATGGGAGCAGACAGCGGCAAAGGAGGGACAGAGGAGGGGACAGGAAGAGCAGTGAAAATGGACGGTTGAGATGCGTTTACGTGGCTGTGGGAAACCCAATCGGGAGCGTTGGATATTAAGGGACAAGCATTGCCATGTGATGTGGGGGCCCCGTAGCCTTTACAATTATATAAATTTAAACATTTTATATATTTATATATTTATATATTTATACAATTTTCTCAAAATATTAAAACAAACACAATTAAATTATATTCTCTCTAGAAGAAGTTAATTTATAATTACATGAAAAAAATTAAAAAGAAAAAAATAATCCAGTTGACTAAGTCAAAGTCGTCTCCAGTTGACCAACTTGAGTTACGCCTAAAAAATTAGGGAAGATATTAAAATTAAAAAAAGGTTTAAAACCATCCTTAAATTTTATTATATATAAATATTACTTTTTAAAATTTAATCATTTATTATTATTATTATTATTTTATATATATTTCTTGTTTCTTGTTCTCTATTTGGATGTGGGCGTGGGGTGGTTGAGTCCCACGGTGTGTAGTGGTTGGTTCGTAAATCAAAATCAATAGAATGTACCAAAACCCACGAACCAAAGGACCCATCCTCCCCACCTCGTGCGCGTCTTCCAACTCCTTAATGCTTTCGAATCTCGATCCTTATTATTATTTTTGTTTTATAATAATATGATATTGTTTATTTTAAAAAAAATTTCTCGCATCGAGTAGGATAAGATTGTTCTAAGTAAAATATCCTTAATCTTGAAGATTCTATGATTAAACCGTCAAAATAAAAAAGTACATCTTATTGGTATAGCTAGCTGCTTTCAATTATTTTAAACTTTTTTAACCATTCTATATTCTAGATTACTCTCATTCGAATGTAATGTTGGTTCATTTATGAACAACTCATTTATACTGTGTCATATCTCCAATATCAAATTTCAATTTTATTTGAAGTGGGTCATACATATTTTATATATTTTTTAAATTACAAATATAATTTGAGGAAAAAAAAAATCAATTTGAAAAAGGTGAAAGAAAGAGAAATCTAAAGAACATTTCAAAAGGAGTAGTTTTTATGGTGATAGTCTTTTTAGGCATGATTAAAATTTGAAATAACACAACCTTTTTGACTAAACAACTAATTATTTATTAATTTCAACCTTTTCAAATTAAGTGACAAAAAAAAAAAAAAATGGAAAAGAAATTTTTTGCCGACTTAAAATTATTTTAAATTAAGAACAATTAAAATTTTAAAGGAAAAGAAAAAATGATTCACAAAATTAAGATTTATCACACGTTAATCAGCTATCTACATTAATTAAAAGAAATATATATATATAAATGATGTGAAACAATCTTGCAACAACTAAATATTAGTGAGCTATTATTGTCCTAACTCTTTAATGGTGAGTACATAGGGTGGTGACTAATTCTTTTGTCTTTAATAAAGCTACCGAATCATACCTCTATCTCTAGAAGGCACACGAGTCTATATGCTATAATGTTATACTCCATACAGACATTCTATAATTAAGAGACTATGAAAACAGTTTTTTTTATGTTATATGGATAAAATTGAATCTAATTATAATATCTCGAACTAATTAAGAGAGGGTAAGAGAGTCAAACTGGATGAACCTAATCCAAAATGGAGCCCCTAGCTTTGTACTTGACCACACCCTAGGGTCTATATGGGTCGTGGAGAAACAATATGTACCTTGGGCCAAAAGCTCAAGAGATTGATTAAGATACTTAAAGTTATCTCGACTCATTATCAAATCCTTAAGCCTAAAGGAGGACCAACCCAACCCGCTAGATTCAACTCTTTTCAACTCAATCCTAGGTTGTCAAGTAAAAATGAATAATTATACTTCATGGTTAAAAGTCCAAAATAAATTCTTGTACTCCAACATCTCTAACTCAAAAGATCTGGGTACGACAATTTTCACTATGTTACAAGTTAGGTATGTGTCCCGTTCAACAAATTTACTACCTTATCCATATTTGCACACCAACCATTTCCGAAGTGATATCAAACTTATCCGGACGTCATATACACAAATTATTTCCAAACAACTTAACTCATTCAGCTAGAGAGCCAGTTTCTTAGAAAAAAATGAATGCCAAAACTTTGGGTACTATGACGACATTCCACCCATCAAAATTAATATCAACAATAAAAGAAAGAACAAACAGCTGTTCTTATAAATGAAATAAGCTATGGAAGTGAGCATTTGCTTCCACATGATTCAACCTCTAATTTTGGACCATCCTCCTATGTTCCATTATCACCTATACATTGAACTATATTGCACAATCTCTTTCGTTTTATAACCCTTTCCTTTTCTATCTCTCACCCAAACATTATATTACTCCTTCTACAATTAATGTATTGTCTCAAACCCTAATCTTTCTCCCCTCTCTCGGTCAAACTCATAAATAATTTGACAAATCTAGTCACTCAACTCATTGACATTTGTGTTAAAAGTATAAATTTGTGGCTAGTACATCGTGTCACGTAAAATATATTTAACAAGTATTTGAACTTTTAACTTTGTATCTAATAACGTAAGATCTCACATTAGTTGGAGAAAGAACAAAACATTCCTTACAAGAGTGTGAGAATCTCTCCCTAATAGTCACCTTTTAAAATGGAAAGCCCAAAAACACAATATCTGCTAGCTGTGGTCTGAGTTGTTGCAAATAGTATCAGAGCCAAACATTGGGCGGTGTGCCAGTGAGAACATTAGACTCCTAAGGGAGTGGATTGTGAGATCCCACATCGGTTGGAGGGGAGAACGAAACACTTCTTATAAGGGCATTAAAACTTATCCCTAATAGACACGTGTTATTAAAACTTTGAGGGAAGCCTAGAATAACAATATCTGCTAGTGCTCGTAGTCTAATAATAAGTTCGTAATTTAAAAAAAAAAGTGTTGAGTAAGTCAAGATCTATTAGACACAAAATTATACGTGAAGAGACTTGTTAGATATAAAATTAAAAAAATTGAATTATATTATAAATTAAGTTTAAATCTTGTTTATTCACATTTTATTTATAAACCTTCAATTTTTATCGTTAAATATTAAATTAAAAAATTAATGCATAGGGTATAATATTGAGAAGGGCAAAAGAATTAAAAAGAATTAAATAATTTGAATTTAATTTGTAAAATTTATGTAATTTAAGCTGGGGGTGTGGGGCCGGGGAGAAAACTGGAAGCGTGTGGGGGCAGGGATTGAGAACGGCGGGAACACGTACGATGGGTTGGACCATCGTCCACGTGTGATACTGCTGACGAGGAAACGTGGGGCCCTGTCCACTGTCCAGAGGCTGTTTGGTTGGATTGCGCTGTCAGCAGCTTTCAAAGTCCTCACCTGACAAACACGCCACCTGTTGCCTTAAACGCGGTGCCACGTATCTGCAGTCATTACCATTCGTGTTCTTTTTTTACATTTTTACCACTCACCGACGCCGTTTTACCCGTTCGAGACCGCGTTCCGTTGCGTGTCCAATTCGGCTTCCCTCTTTGGGTGGGCCATTAAATACATAATTAATTTCAAATTCCTATTTTATTTCCATATTATTTATCTTTAAATAAAATTTTCTAATTATATTTGTGGGTAATAAGTGAAGTATGATAATTTGATGTTATTAAATTTTTGTTGCATATAAAGTCATTGTGTTTTATAGGTAAAGATCGATTGAAACGTTTTTTATTTACAACTTTACGATAAATATATATATAAAAGTTTAAGGGTATAGTTGGAATAAAACTTTAACGTTTTCTATTCAAAACTTAGCCATGATAATTTTAGACGTTATAGTCAAAAGTATTTTCTAAAACTCAAACCTCTTAATCAAATATTTATATATTTATCAGTTAAACTATATTCTAGTTGAAAGTAATATATGAACACTAAATATATTAATTAAAACATAGATCAATACAACGTTAAAATAAATTATACGGATCCAAACTTATAATCAAATATATATTTTTATTTTTTAATTACATGAGAATAGAAAATAATTTAAAAGACAAGCACTCAAAATAAAAAATAATAATACTAAAAAATTGTTTTCATAATGAGAGGATTGAGATTCTTTTGTCACCCAGTAACTGATACCAATGACCTCAAACTACCAAATAAAAAACCACACTTTTACATGTTTTTTTAATGATTTATTTGTTTATTATTATTTTAAATAATGTTGCGAGTGTTGGATAATGAAAGTCTCACATCGGTTAATTTAGGGAATGGTCATAGATTTATAATCTAAGAATACACTCTTCATTGGTGTGAGGCCTTTTGGGAAGCCCAAAGCCAAGTCATGAGAGTTTATGCTCAAAGTGGACAATATCATACCATTGTGGAGAGTCATGTTCGTCTAACAGCAAACACAAAATGATTATCGACGTAGACCATAAAGATTAGTTATAATTTTAATTTGATATAAATTACCTTAATCACACCCGATTAATATCATTATATTTTTTAAAAAATTAATTCTTTGATATAAATTAAAAAAGAAAAAAAAAAAAAAAAAGAGGCAGCCCCCACATGTCCTAAATTAAAGGAACATTTGGAATATTATGGAGATAGGTTGCAAATAAACTATGGTCTTATTGGTACCTAATTTTTACTTTTTAAAACTATATTATAAAATTGCTCTTTTCAAAAGTATCAAAATTGAGGATCATCAATATCATACGAGATTTGATTTGTTGTTAGTTTTAAATGTTTTATTAAGCCAAAAAATACCATTGTAAACGTGTACTATTTTGTGTTTATGGGCAATAATTTATTTATCTGTAATTAAAAAAATATTTTGAATGGAATATTATTTAGATAAGCTAATATTGTACCGATTCTATCGAGATGATTAAGTTTTGATTAATACCTATTAACGTGAATATACCTATAAGTAAGGACAACACTGAGTTAAAAAAATAATCTCTTGAATTCGAAAAATAACTACATTTAGATTTAAGAAAAGACATC